CCCTTTTATTTATTTGTACAGTAAGAGTTTGGACTAGGATTTATTTAGAAGGTTCTTTCCAGATCTGATATGATAAAACTGTATGAAAATGAAAGGTGTGTGGAAATTACCAGTTTCTAACATTTCCTCTCCATTAGTGCAATGAATGATAAAGCTGCATTAAGTACATAAAGTTGTAGCACCTAATAAGAGTTAAGTGCAAAGAATTGTGGGAAGTTTGAGCTCTAATAGAACTAACAAATACTTGAAACAGTACTGTATACCAATGCTTCTCAAACTTGTCTGCATATTAGAATTACCCTGGGAGCTTTTAACTGTTTTTTTTTACTCAGGTTGCACCCCAATCAGAAACTAAGTGATGAGTCTCAGGAGATACCAATACATAGCCAAGTTTGAGATTCACTGTTATATAATAGTTTCATGTTATTTCAGGTATATTGATTACTTCTGCTTGATAGTCAGTACCTTAATAAAAGTACTTAGTACCCTTAAAATCTGCATTTTAACTGAACAACAAAATCTGGACTTTAATGTTACCTTCAAATTTTATGTTGAATATATTCATCTCTCTCAATCTTATTTGTCACCCAGCTGTTCTTGTTGCCTCTTGCATGAATAGGATACAAGTTTGACTTCTGTTCAGAGACTCAAAATAATGATGGCTTAAATACGACAGAAGTTTATTTAAATAGGAAGCACAAAGCTGGTACAGTGGCTCCACAGACAGGGACCTAGGCTCCTACTAGCGGGTGGCTCTGCCATCCCTAGGGTGTTGCTCTTCTCTGCAGGATCCAAGATGTGCCACCCACCACTCGATACATATTCTAGGTTGCAGAAACAGGGGAAAAGAAGGGACTATTCCCTCCCAACATCTGTGAGAATGGTTCATAAATGTTTTTTATCATGTATGCTTACTCCCATAGGTCAAAACTTAGTTATAAAGCCATACGTAGGCTCAAAAGAAGCAGGGAAAAGTATTCCTTATTCTAGGCAGCTGTGTGCCTGGCCAAAAAATTCTACTACTGTAGAAGAGAACAAGCATTGGGGAAATCAAGCATCTTTGCCAACATCCTCATAATCTACTCTCCTTCCAACAGACAGCAACCATTCTAAAATATGAATGGAAGCAGAACATATACTGGCCATAAGTCACTAAATAACTTCCCAGTGCTTTAAATATACCAAATAAAGTTCCTACCATGGCTTCTAAGGCTTTGTATAGTTTACAATTGCCTCCTCTATTTGCCTGTCTAATCTTGTATGCCACTTTTTTTTTTCCGGCAGTACTGGGGTTTGAACTCAAGTCCTCATGCTTGCTAGACAGGCACTGTACCACATAAGCCACTCTGTCACCTGTTTTGTATTGGGTATTTTCAAAGTAGGGTCTTGCAAACTATTTGTTGGGGTTGGCTTTGAGCCATGATACTCAATACTCCTGGTATCTTCCCCCTCAGTAGTGAGGACTACACGCATGAGCCAATGGCACCCAGCTTGTATGCCACTTTTTATACTCATCATACCATTCATTTCAATTTCCCAAACTTACCTTCTGTTGCCAAGTCTTTTGTACCTCACTTCCTCAAGAAAAACTTTCCTAGTACCCTTCTCCATTGCTAAAAAGTGCTAAGCTGTAAGATAGTTCAGTGGTACAGTGCTTGCCTAGCATGCACAAGGTGCTAGTGCTGGGTTTGAACCCCAGCACCACAAATAAATAAAAAATAAAAGCAGTGATATAATCCACATACCTTCATTCATGACATTTATCTCACTTATTTGGGTAATTAATTTGAATGTTTTTCTCCACCATACTACTGTAGGTTCCATAAAAGTAGGGGCCATGTTTGATTTTGTATTTGCTCCTGCTGCTAACCCAGTAACCCAGTGTTTGCTACAGACTGGACACTCAAATATTTGGATCTATGGTACAATAATTCAGCTCATTATTTTATGAACCTGAGAATTTAGAGCTTGTCTCATAGTGACCTAAAATGCTAATATTTTATTATAATTATTCAAGCATTTTACTTTGTGCTCAAGTTATACTTTAAAGAAACAGAGTTTGGAATATAAAGCTTGGCCTTAAAATTTCATTTTCTTGACTGTTTTACATTAAGTCACTTAGTCTTTTACTCTTTTATTTTTCCATCTACAAGATAAGTATTAGCATCTTGTTATGGACAACTGGTAGATCTTAAGCTAGTAGGAGTCAGATATAGTAACCTTGGAAGAGCATCAGAGATATTCAAGTTGTTTAAAAATTATTGCTTTACTTTTCACTGAAATGTGCATATGAATTTTAAAAGCTAATATATTGTAGTTTTCTGTTTTGAAGACATATACATATGTGTATGAATATACATGTAAAGTACTGGAATAAACTAGGAATTACCTTAGCAGTAAAAACAACTTGGACTAAGATTTCAATGTTTATTGTTTGGCCACATTAAACTGCTATAAGTGATAATGTTTTAGTTAACTTTGGAATGTTCTTAATAGAAAACAACATTTTCATGAAACATGAAAATAACTCAAAGACATTTTTGGTAGTCTATACTAATAGACCAAAAGAATCATAGAACTGGATGGAACCACTATTTTGCAAACTTTACAAATAAGGAAACAGGGCAAGGGACAGAGTAGTTGCTATCTTTAAATCTGTACACACACAAACATGGGATAATATGATGAATTGTATGACTTGAATAAAGAGAAAGTCTTATATCTAGTTTTTCTTTTGTGGAGATGTGATACAAAGTCAAAATACAATCTCAAATAAACTAAAAAACCTAACATAACCCTAAATCTCATTTTTACCTATTTTCAAACATTTTCTTTAAAAGTGCTTAACTAAAAACAGTTGATTACTGAAACAATTGGCATTAATTAATATATACTTCACCTCTCATCAATTTACCCACAAATTCTTCCATAGCAATATTTAACAGAGAAAAAGAAAGTAAACATACCTGAAAAGGTTATTAATGAAAAAGCACCCAGCTCAATTACAAACCACACAAATGACTTTAGAAAAATAAGAGCCGAGTTACAATTTATGGTCTGTGTCAAATATTTTTAGTATCACCAAGTATAAATTTCAAATTTCTTAAAAATTCCCTTTTTAATATGGATAGAATGAATATAGACTAATTCCAACAAGAAATAAAAAATATATAAAAGAAAATGTGATCCTTCAGTGAGACTGGTCCTCCAGAAGACTATCTGGTATTTATAATTTACTTTTTGATTTGTTCACATGAAGATGAAATCATGTTAGTTTATTTGTGTTGTTTTGGAATTAATGAACATGTATTATCACTTGAAGATAAATTCTCCTGACTGTAGTTTGCTACTTTTCCTAGGAAACTGCTATAGTATCTGCCCATTTTTGCAAGAACCAGAAATGTGGACACAGACGTTTAACTCCAAAGTTGGATAGACACATTAGTAAAACATAAAATAAACTTCCAAGTGAAATTATTTTAATGATATCTTTTTTTTTGGTGGGACTGAGGTTTGAACTCAGGGCTTTGTGCCTTCAAAGCAAGCACTCTGCCACTTGAGACAACTTCTGGGTGAAGTTGTCTTTAAAACTTCTAAAATTAGAAAACAGTTCTTATTTTCCATACAACATAGGAACAGAAATTATACCTGTGTATAGTTTTGGTATCTTTGCCTATACTTTTCAGTAAACAGTTATTTCAGTGATGCCCCCAACAATGGTGTGGTATTAAAAGTTATAATAGCTTAACACAAAAGTTTACATCCCGTTTGGTAAATAACAGTCTTCAAACACACATGGAAAAATTATCTCGGATCATTTAGCAAGTACAAATATAGCCCCACAAAATGGAGAAAAGCATCAAATACATTAAAAATGAGGCAGGAGACCAAAAAAGTTATTACATTTTAACTTCTTTATTAATACATTTCAATTTTAATATAAGAAGGACTCACAAATTTAAGTAACAGTTACAAAGAATAAAAATTGAACACCTTTATGAACAAACTACAGTATGTCTTGAAGTTCAGAGGCTCCCAATACATTAAAAATGTATGGTATATGAAGTCACATAATTATAGGGCTACAAAGAAAGCCCTAAAAGCTTAACTATAATGAGATTCATCTTAACAAGAATAATCTTCATTATCACTTGATAGTTGCTTTAGCTCATCTAACAAACCACACAGATTTCCAAATGGCTTCCAAATGTAGAGTGGCCATTTACATTGATAATGAAGTATGCAGACAACCGGAATGAAATTAATTTCCTAGGTACTGTTTTTTACTTTCAATATGAGTACTTAAGATATTAATATGAGATAAAGTTTCACTGTCTAAACTCACATTACATATACTGAAACTACAAATGAATAAAGACTATTCAATGAATGCTGTAGTCTCACACTGGTAAAATATTTATTAATTCAAAGCATATGAAATCACAATATGGTGCGATTTTAAGACACACTTTAAGACAATTCAGCACTCATTTTATAGCTGGCCAAAGTTAAAAGACTGGGGACAAGTGGACCATTATAATCCATGTGTACTTTTGGAAATGACAGAAACTACTTTGGTTGTGAGAAATGAAAGTTGATCACTTTAGAAGAATGAGAACTTAACCTTCAAATAGTCAATTCCAAATTTACCATTATATGTGCATAAAATTGGAAGGATGTTAAATCTCCATGAAAAGTTACTCTTGTAAGTCATAATGCCTTACACTGAGATTTTAGAACAAAATTACACCTCAAAAAAGGAACAATGAACATTAGTTATTACAAGCCATGTAGATGTAAGCTAATTTTTGATACACAAAATTGTTTTGATGAGCTTTTCAACAGTGAATCTAATATGAAGTATTTAGAACCAAATATAAGATAAACATAAAACCACTTTAGAGCTCATGTAATACTCTTGCTGTAAACAGTTATTGAAAAAAACAATAAAATATCTTGCAGTGTCTTATTTATAACATAATGATTTAGTTGGCTAATTTTTAAGAAATATTCTTCGGAGTATAAATTTTCTGCAAACAGACTTCCACTTTGTTGTCACCCAAATTACAGATATCCAAGATACCGATGATATGCTCTCTATCCAGTTCAGCTGCTGCTTTTATAATATCACCTAAAAATAAAAAGCAGATGGTAAGTACTGTAAAATAGTTAAATATTTACTTGGACATAGAATCACATAACCTGATGATTTTTTCTTACAATATTAGCAATGTTGCACATCTTTTTCTTCCATCCAATTCATCATATGCATTTACCAAACTTAGGACATAGCAACTTCTCCGGGTAAATATGAACACATCAAACAGATGCTACCAATAAATAGCAAGACATGGTACTCCAAAGACATATTTAGGTTCTTGTTTTTGCTTTGTTTTTGGTGGAGTAATAAAAATCTATGTATTTTCAAGGTCATATATGAGGTTTCAAATAGTTTATTGTTACACTTCAAAGAAGGGCAAAGATTAGCTTTTCTATTTTGAAATTCAATTATCATTTTTTGGTAAAATTTGGAAGTCATGAAGCAAAACAACACAGATCTACCTTGTATGTTATACATGTACATATATGCAGATGATTATGTGTATGCATATAAATATATGGGTACATGTAATTGAGACTTCTTTTAAGTTTATTTCCTTTGAAGTGGCTTTATTTTTTATTTATTTATTTATTTATTTTTTAACTCACAGCTTCCAAATTTTATTTTATTTTATTTTATTTTTTTCATTTTTCTTTTATTATTCATATGTGCATACAAGGCTTGGTTCATTTCTCCCCCCTGCCCCCACCCCCTCCCTTACCACCCACTCCACCCCCTCCCGCTCCACCCCCTCAATACCCAGCAGAAACTATTTTGCCCTTATCTCTAATTTTGTTGTAGAGAGAGTATAAGCAATAATAGGAAGGAACAAGGGGTTTTGCTGGTTGAGATAAGGATAGCTATACAGGGCATTGACTCACATTGATTTCCTGTGCGTGGGTGTTACCTTCTAGGTTAATTCTTTTTGATCTAACCTTTTCTCTAGTTCCTGGTCCCCTTTTCCTATTGGCCTCAGTTGCTTTTAAGGTATCTGCTTTAGTTTCTCTGCATTAAGGGCAACAAATGCTAGCTGGCTTTATCAAGTAAGATAGCTCACTCTCATGAAGCCTTATCAAAAATGGATCAGGTGAAAGACATCAGTAAAAATAGCAGAGTAGGGAACTCCAGGACTCTGTCTCTCCACAAAGCATCTTATAAGTTGGCAAAACTCTCAGAATCAATACTTGCAAATTCTGGAACCAGAAAAATACTTAGAAAAAGACAGATGGAGAAATAAACTGCCGTCCTGTGGGAAGAACGTGCTGTGGTGTTTTAAACTGCTTGCTTACCACCCTTCACTCCCCAGATAATTGGCAACCATGAAGATGGCAGCATACACTCATGGTGGAGGTTGCTTATACCAAAGAGAGCAATGCAGTACTTAATCTAAAAAATGTGGCTATGTGTGTTGACCTGTCTGACAGATGCAAGGACTTACTTTTGTTTCACCTAGTTTGGAGAATTCTCACAGCTAGGTGGCTTTTCCCCCAGGCTTTTGTTGAAAGTGTATAAAGCAAAAGGATTGGCCAGTGAAACTCACTAGGGTATAACACTGGGACAAGCAATAGACAGACCAAAATCAAGGACAGAAAGTGGCTGGGAAAATGGATATGTAAGGGAATAAGGACTTTTAAAAGCTCTTGTGCACACTTGGGAATCAATAAAGCTATATGCAAACCCAGGGCTTGCTACCTGCTCAGAAAAAGCCTGAGAAAACTCTGATCATTCACCTCTGGCTGACTATCAGGCTCTTAGCAAGCAGGAAGTGAAGGCTAAGGCAGAGTTATAAATAGCCTGGCTAAATGCTGAAGAAGTGCTATGGCACTTCAAAAACTAGGAAAATATATGTTCTTTGCTTTCTTCATTCTCTTGGCTCCTGGTGTTTAATGAAACACTGTCAAAATACTAGCCAATTACTAAGTGAATGGATCATAGGTTTCAGTGGCTACATATGACAAAGATTTATTCTAAATATGAGAAAATGAAATCACCTACAGGATAAGTAACAAGCAAAGTCACATGATGATTCTAATCCAGACAGTATAGCTTCAAGGTATACATTTTTCACCTCTTATGCTGCACTTACATCTCTACAAAATGATGCTTAAATCTAGAAGTAGATCTAGGTTCTGTGGAGCCCGAAGGTATGGTATTTAGAAGCTTTTTAAATAAAAAATGCAAAATACATAATACCAAATGAGCCTTGGAAGGGACCTATGCAAGCTTAGGCTTCATTAGCTTCACAGTAAATCCTTCTCTGTTGAACACATCTAAAACTCTAATGAATGATTTAAAATTGTTCAAGTTCAATAAAACACAATGAATATCACAACAACTGCTAGTACTATATAATTTTCTTCTTTGATGGTGGTGGACTTTAATCCAGATGTTTTGGAAAGATTTTAAAACCTTCAGAATTGATGCTAACAGCAACATCCCAAACATGAATACTTGTAATTGCTATCATGTACTGACTTTTACAAATAATGACTTCCATGTCACCCACAACATAAAATCTAAGTCTTCTCTTCAAGTGACTCTGCCAGTTACGTAATACATTTTGCAAACAATAAACTCTCTATGTCTCATTTCGCTTATCTAGTACTGACATCAGAGTGTTTTGAGGATTAAGTACACATGAAGCCCCTAGAATGGTGGCTAATTCGTAGCAAGCACTACTCAAATATTAGCAGTGATCAAGAAAACCTGTTATGAAATTAGGATATTATTTATATCACAAAAAGTCTTTTAAAAGGACTACAGTTTTTACCTCTAAAATAAGCTTTTGTTCATTTCACTTTAAACTGTTAGAATTGTAAGAATTATATATTTGTAGGAACAATCAAAATTTACACAGTGAGTGTCACAAAGGAAACTCTGTGTTCTTACTCTGTTTCCTATTTTTGATTACAAGGGAAGAGAAACTGTTCTGGCCTCCCTTATAGCTAGGTTGGTGTCCTGTAACTAAATTATGTCAAATGAAAATATAAGTGGGAGTGATGTGTTATTTTGGTCCAAGATAACTAAAAACTATTGTCTTCTTCATCTCTTTCTTCCTTTGTCTTGACAATCCCATAAACCATTTTCTCCTGCTGAGGCACCAACAAAAGGGATACACACTGGGTTCCTAGGAAAAAAGTTACTGGTTGATTGTATCACACTTGAGCAAGAGATAAGTTTCTATGGTGTTAAGTCACTGTGACCTTTGAGTTGCTTTGTAACTATAGTACAGTCCAAACTATCTTGTAATATAGTATGGCATTCCTATCTCTGAAAAGAGTATGAGAAACCCTGATTACCTAGACAACAAATGTGTGAAAATTCTTCCATATTACGCTATACTTCTGAAATGTTTATCAATATAAATGTTAATGTAATGCTTTCAAGGGGATAGAAGACATATGTATCCTTATACTTCATAATTAAATATAATACCAAGAAGGACTTCATATCAGTAACCATTACTCAAAAGTGACTTGGTATAAATGGCTAATCATTCGGAAAAATATAAAGCTGGATCCCTATCTCACTGCTACACAAATAAATTCCAAATGTATTAAAATTCTGAGTTGTAAAAATGAAGCCATATCAATAACAAATGCTCCCTCTAAAATATTAAAAGATGTATAAAGGACTTGAGTGGACATTACTTTAAAGAAGATATACAAATAGCCAATAAGCACATAAAAAGCTTAACATCATTAGTGACTAGCAAAGTACAAAAGAAAACCACAATGAGATACCACCACACACCCATTGGGATGGACTTTATCAAAACTAAACAAAACAAAGCTACTAAAAGTAACACATGTTGGTAAGGATGTGGAGAAAGTGGAATCCTCATGCATTGCTGGTGGACATGTAAAATAGTGTAGTTGCTATGAAAAACATTGGCTGTACATCAAAAAGTTAAACATACGATTACAATATACTCCAGTGATTCCACTCCAAGGTATTTATATTCCCCAAAGATTTGAAAGCAGTGATTCAAGCAGTACACAGATGTTCATAACATAATTATTTACAATAGCCAGAACATGGAAACAAGGGCCAGGCATAGTGATACACATCTATAATCCCAGATACTTGGGAGGTAGAGATAGGAAAAATGCTATCTGAGGGTGGCCTAGGCATAAAAGCAGAAAACCCTATCTGGAAAATAACTAAAGTAAAAAAAGGACAGGAGGTGTGGCTCAAGTGGTAGTGGTAGAGCACTTGTCTAGCAAGTGCAAGGGCCTGAGTTCAATCCCCAGTACCAACAAAATAAAACAAAAGAAATAAAACAAACCAAGTGTGGTGCTTCATCCCTGTAATCCCAGGTACTTAGGAGGTGGAGGTACAGGGTCAAGATCTGAGGCTAGACTAGACAAAAACATGAGAACCTAGCTGAAAAGCAAGCTAAAAGCAAAAGAACTGGGGCATGGCTCAAGTGGCAGAGTACCTGCTTCACAAACAGGAGGTCCGGAGTTCAATCTCCAGTATCTCAAAAAGAAAAGAAGAGAAAGAAAAGAAGTCAAATTTCTATTAATAGATGAATGGGTAAACAAAATATAAGACGATGGAATATTGTTCAGAAATTAAAAAGAATAGAATTGATAAAATTATAACATAAACGAACCCTGACAATATCATCGATGTAGGGTTAAGTGAAATAAGCCAGACACAAGAGGATAAATATTGTATGATTTTATTTACATGAAATACGTAAATTAGGCAAATTCATTGAGAAAGTAGAACAGCAGTTACTAGAGGGTGTGGAGAAGTGGGAATGGGAATTACTGTATAATGGGCATAGGGTTTCTGTTTGGGTTGATGGAACAGTTCCAGTAATAGATAGTGGTGATGACTGCCCAATATTGTGACTATACTTAATGTCATGAATAGACATTTGAAAATAGTTGAAATGGCAAATTTTTGTGTTATGAATATTTGATCAAAATAAATATATATGAGCAAAAATAAAAGAGCTATAAAAGTGCCAGAAATAAACAGAGTGAGTTTAGCAAAAAGAGCCTTGGACTGATGATGCCTTTCTGAGTGTGAGATAAAATGAACAGCCACAAAATAAAAGATGATTTACTTAAGTACATAAAAATAAAATTACTTAACGTATCAAACTGAATAAATGTCAAACTGGGTTAATGTATTTGTAACACAAAGTGTTAATATTTATGAAGTGATAACCTATAAATGAATTAATAAGAAAAAGAACACTCACAGGCAAGTGGAAAAAATAAAACTAGCATTTAAACTTCTAGAAAGTTCATAGAAATAAAAATATAATTGTCTAATGAATATGAAAATTTTTTTCCTTCTTTAAGAATGTTTTAATATAAAAAAATTCAGAAATACAAAGGAATAAAGATGTACAATGAACCTATATATGCCAAGATTAAGAACTGTAACTTAGTCAGGTGCTGGTGGCTCACACCAGTAATTCTAGTTACCCAGGAGGCAAAGATCAGGAAGATCATGGTTGGAAGCCAGACTGGGTAAATAGTTCCCAAGACCCTATCTTGAAAATACCCAAAACAAAAAAGACTGGTGGAGTGGTTCAAGTGGCATAGTGCCTGCCTAGCAAGCATGAGGCCCTGAGTCCAAACCCCAGTACTGCCAAAAAAAGAACTGTAATTATCAGGACTTGTGCATATTGATAATTGATTCTTCTATTGATTCTTCTTTCCTTCCTTTCCTTTCTCATATTCTGTTTTCTTCCTTTTCCCATCTCTTACTTCTAAATTTTTAAAAGTAAAGCTCCAGACATTATTTCTTTTATGCCTACATACTTCATATGCTTTGCTAATTAAAAAATTTACATGCTTTTTTACATTAACCACATTGCCAATATTATCCATAATAAACTAACAATAATTCATTTACTATTCAGCCCGGTATGGCCCGAAATGTGTCCCCTTCCAAATTCAATGTTGGAGCCCTACCCCCAATGTGACTGTATTGGGGGGTTACATTGAGCTAGGAACTTTACTGAGGTAATTATAGTTACCTTCAGTATTTGCGGGGGTTGATTCCATCCTCCCCACTGCCCTGTAGATACCAAAATTTAAGCATGAAAAGATTATGAAGCTCAGATATTAAGAAATGCAAATCGAAATAGTTCTATACTACTTTTTACCTATCAGTATGCAAAAGATTAATAAGATCGATTATACCTAGTGTTTACAAGGTTGTGAATGAAATGGCTTTCTTGTTTTGGGAGAATAATTCGACAATAATCTACACACAATATTCTAGATGTAGACACTTTTTGAGTCAGTGACTTCTCTTCAGGGACTTGTCTTAAAGATGTAGTTGTATAAATGTAGGAACAATTTATGTACACACTCATACATATACATGGATACATGTTGCAGTACTAGTTGATAATAGAAAAAATTGGAAGCAACCTTAAAGTCCATCTGTAAGGGACTGGTTAAGTAAATTCTGGTATAGCCATATAGTGGAATGCTTTTTAGCTATTAAAAAGAATCGGGTAAGTTGAGTTCAGATGGCTCTTTCCTGTAATCTTAGCTCCTTGGGAGGATCATGGTTTGAGGCCAGCCAGGGCAAACAGTTCATGAGACCCCATCTCAATGAATAGCCTGTTACCCCAAGCTATGTGGGAAATTGAGACTGGGGGAATTGTGTTTCCAGGCCAGTGTGGGCAAAAAAAAAGTTTGTAAGACCCCATCTCGATGGAAAAAAGCTGGACTTGGTGGCATTTGCCTGTCATCTCATCTATGGTGGGAAGCGTAAAATAGGATTGTGGTCCAGGCCAGCCTGGAGATCTTATCTCCAAAATAACCAGAGCAAAAAAGGGCCACAGGCATTACTCAAGAGGTAGATAGCCTGCCTAGCAATAATGAAGCTCTGAGAGCCCTCGTACTACCAAAAAAAAAAAAAAATGAGGTACCCTTCTCTATACTAATATGAAAAATGTCCAAGATATACTGTCAGATGGAAAAAGCTGGTTAAAGTACCATAAGCTTATAAAATTTAATTTGTGTATATTTCTTTGATACAGAGAAATATAATATATACTGTTATATAAAAATAATTTCTTACAATATTAAAAGATACTGGTTATCTCCAAAGAGTGGGTTGGTGGGCAGGGTTGACCTGAGAAGGCAAGGAGGGAAACCTTCACTTTTACTCAGGATCTATCTGTACTGTTTGAAATTTTAAGTGATTCACATGTATAGATTTTGTAATTAAAACAAAAATAGCTCATAAAAATGTTTAAAAGATGATATCTGTGTTATACAATGAGCAACTGTATTATGCTACTGTATATTGCACCCTAGAATCATCAAAGATATAGAAAAGTTTGGAATCAGACAAGTCTGGGTTTAAATTCTACCTTTTACCATGCTGCTGAGTCCCTCTGTCAGTCTAGCTATCAATAAATAGGGGGAAACAGTCATCACAGGTTCTTATTAGGATTGTTTGAAAGGCACATAAGAGGCACAGGCACAATGATTGGCACAAAGTTAAATGAACGCTATCATTATTATTAATGCTATATCATGAAAAACATGGTACTCAAAACGAATCCTTTTGATTTTGGTTACTATTTCACTTTCTTCCTTATCGATTCTTGACCTTTATGTACAAATATTAACTACTTTGGCAGACTCGTACCAGGTATTTTTCATGTGACCATGTTAACAACTACTGGAAGAATATTGGCACTAGCAACAAGCAGATAGCTGAGAACTCTGACCTGACATTTTTATATCAATAACAGTATGTACATATAGCAGAAGGCATGAGTCAAAGTCGATATTAAATGAAATAAGAATATGAGTACACAAATATTTAAACTACATGTTAGGACACTAATTAAGAAATTTGGGAAAACTGAAAGCCTAAAGGAGATGTAATGTAAGAAGTAACACTGCAAGTCAACTAATATATCATCTCTAAAATGGACTATGGAAAAAAAAACTTCATCTCTTACAAAATTAGATACTCAAGTTCAGTTTGCATAATCATTACTGTTGAGTTACTTCATCAGGTAGAGCTCATAAAACTCATTCAAAAACAATATACAGTCAAGAATTTCATCACCTTAGAAAAACCCACCACAAACTCCCAAGATAATGAAAGTAATAAAAGGATTTATAAAATGCTCTTTTAAATGTTTTATATTGATAAGCTCAGTGAAAACTGCTAGAAACTTTACCACATGCTTAGGAAATACCAGTGACAACAGAAAGTAGAGAGGATAATTATAGTTGGACAGATACTTTAAAGATATGCACAAATAACTTAAAGTTTGATATATTATGCAGCCCCATAAACACCTGGTTGAAGAGTTTCCGTACTGGTATTACATAGACTCCTAGCACCCCTTAGGGAATTTACTGCATAGCACTCGAATAACTAAATATTTATAAGAGAAAACAACTGTACTGTAGTTTATTGTGGAGGTATCACGATTTTAGGTAAAAAAAAAAAACAACCCAACTGTCTTAAATGAGTTAAAGAGGAGAAAGATTAGAATTAATTGCACTGCTCCATGTGCATCTCACTTAGGTCTGATGAAATAATTACACTTCAAAGTGTATTATAAAAAGTATTCTTAATGCCTGCCTGGAATAGAAACAAGCTGTTCAGTTTATTTAAAAGAATATTCTCATTTATAAGTCTTGAGGTACATTTACCAATATAAGCATTTAATTAAACTACATTAAGTTTTAAGGCTATAACTCATCACATAAGCTGTCAAAGGGAAAAGGTTAAGATTGTTTATAATATTTTTTCTGAATGAAAAGACCATTGACACTGTCTTACCTGCCAGTGCTTTGGGACCTGGCAAATTTTCATTGACATTTACTTCCCGTGGATATACACAGCTGTAATTCATGCAGGTCAAAAGTGTGTCTATTTGAGATGTTCGGACATCTTCTGGAGAATACATGGGTAGGAATGCAACATCAATTGCTATTTCATGATTCAGACCTGTTGAAGAAAGATCACATTATTAAAGGTTCTATTGGTAAATATATGGTGCTAATGAGACCAAGTTTGCTGGTTTGATGTTAACATGTGCCAAATATCTTGAGACCTGGAAAAACCTGTTTACAAACTGGAGTCTGGAGTCAGATTTGCAAACAATTTATGAATACATGCCATTGGCTGAAATAGTAGGCACTCTAGTGTAACCTATCACCATAGCCAGAAATAACAATTCAAAATGTTTCCCCTAGTGATGAAAGATTATGTCTTACTATCCAGAGAACATCCTGGTCACGTAAGTTATCATTTGTTTCCACATACACAATACAAAGTTCACATACTCCTCATTGCGGCTAATAAAAAGTTCCAGTAAAAAAAAGGCAAAGGGGGTACAGCCAAGATGAATCCTGACTTTTGATTACTGTGTCTTTATGTGGGTCAATGTCAGGTAGGATGGATAAAAGAAAGACTTCTCAGAGAAAGGCAGGAGTTTGAGGTGGGGACTAAAGGATGAGTGGCATTTAAGTAAACACAGGAGGGCACTTTAAGCATGGAAGGGAGTAGCACAAACTACTGGAGTGAAGGTAAACAATCACAGAGCACAGTTTTAAAACTATGAACTCTACTTGGTATTCCAATCTAGAAGTCCAGAAGTTATCCTTAACCTTTTTACCTTTTCTGAATATCTGATCACCTAGATTCTATATCCTTAATATTTCTCCTATTCATTGCTCACAGTTATTCTTTTTTTTTTTTTTTGGAGTACTGAAGTTTGAAATCAGGACCTCGTGCTTGCTAAGCAGGTGTTCTACCACTCCTCCAGTCCTTTTTTGTGATGGGTTTTTTGAGATAGGGTCTTGGGAACTATTTGCCCATGGCTGGCTTTGAATAGCCAACCTTCTGATTTCTGCCTCCTGAGTAGCTAGGATTACAGGTGTGAGCCACCAGTGCTCAGCTGCTTACAGTGATTCTTAATACTGAGTATGAGCCAGGAATGGGTAAGCAAACTCCTCGCTGCAAATTGATCCAAAAATGCAAATTCTTTGCCTTTTACGAACAAATGATACCAAATCCCACAGCTTTAATTTAACATAATTAAGGGCCAATTAAAACTTTTTAAAGGATTACTAATATTTGGTAGTCATAAACTAAAAACATTCTTAAACATGTTATCTAGAATTTCCTGAGGACTCAAATTAAATATTGTAAGAAATGTAGCTACCCTACATTTAGCAATACTGCAAAGCTCCTCTGAATGTGTACGTGAAAGAATCTTATTTCCTTGAGTCTGAGTCTAAATTTAACTCTAAGATACACCATTAATTTAATAACAGTTTTTATGAAAAGTAAACACAGAATTAAATGTACCCACTGACCATACAATACATTCTAATTTATACATGTATAAAGAAAATACGCCTTAGAATTTTTATCATTGCGTCATTGATGTTATTTTGAGTTGCTTTCTAAATTATAAAATACCATGAGTTTAGCTTCAACATTATCAGTGAAATTAGAGTTGTTTGATTAAAGCTAGAATTCAGAGTATAAATGTGTCAGTAAACAGGCCTCAGGGCTTCTGTACTTGCTGTTCCTATACCTAGAACATTCTTTCCTCCAGATAACCATGTGGCTTGCTCCTTTACCTCTATCAGTTTTCTGGTGAAATACTACTTTTTTCAGGGAGACCTCTGCTGACCACTCTATTTAAAATTTAACCGTTTCCCACTACAGCACTCCTCAGCACTCTTGTTCTATCTTCTATCACCAGCTCACTCTAATACAAGCTCTTTAAGGGAATGAATTTTATATTTTATCTTTATTAATATAACTTTAGCACTTAGAATATTACTGGGCAAACAGTAGTTGCTCAGTAAATATTGATCGAGTAAATAAGCATACATTTGTGTATTTTGCCTATTATTTTCCAGCACCATACTTGAAGATACTTGTACATTAGCATTCAAATATAAATTCATTCAATTTCCATTTGCCATACTGTACAAACCCAGAAACAATGGCTATGATGTAAGAAGAGCTGTTAAAACAACTTTTTCTAAATTTGCTGTGAAAAGATTTTTTTGACAGAATTTGTTTATATGGTTCATTCTCTTCTATCTCTTTAAATGACAATGTACTATTTTAATAGCACTAATTGTGACATCAAGGTAGTTTAGTATGATATAGTTATACTGAAATAATAAGGTTTTACTTATTTTGACGTTTTTCTCCTAATAAAGCAGTTAAATAGATCAGCATAATTCTTGTCTTCCTTATTAGCCTGCTGGGTTGTGGACCAATTATTCATATGTACTCCAGAGGTATGCCCCCTTCCTTGTTGAAAGTCTACATGAACAATTAGCTGAGTAGTGCTGGGTTCTCTTATCTCTGGTTCCCTTACCAATTAATGCTATTATTGGGGTTTATCTCTCTAAATTTCTAGAAGACAAATGTATGGCCTTCTGAGACACAGGAAAGACTGGCTCAATTATATTTCTAAATGTCTGTGTCAAACGTGAATTTAAGAGAGGACTCAAACTTTGATTGTCATAAGATTTAATGAGTAACTGTTAGTAGAACCAATGAAATACTATTAACATCTCTAAGTCCAATCAAAGTTTTGAAAAGTGTATGCTCATATTTAAGGCAAAAATTATTCTTAAAATTTGGAGACTGACCAAAAGATTTCAAGTTTTGTACCTGGACTACAGGCAATGAAAATTTAGTTTGTTACTTCCTGTCAATTTATTCTCTTTAAAGTGTGTGATCTTACATGGCAGGCAATGTCTTGAGGTTTTAGTAAGTATTGTCTATTAATTTGATGTGAGTGAGATGAAATAACAAATATTTTAAGACAAGAACCAGTACTTCTGGAAAAGGTTTCTGATGTTGCCACAGGACTCAATTGTTTGTTGAGAGACATTAAAACTGTGGAAAGGAAGACTAACAATTCTATTTATTGTTTTCAATAATAATAATTCACCCTATACCAGTCAGAAGTAGTGACCAAGTAACAAGTTATGGTCTGAATAAACTTTCTAAGAATAAGGCAGGTCAAAATTGTTGAGTCCTCTAAATATTAGCAAAATACTGCAGAGAGATAATAAACCACTAGAAGATAGAATCAGTGTAAGTTAGAAAATCTTTGAGTTAGAACTTCAAATAGCATACAGATTTTTATGTCTATATTGGGTTTTGCAGTCTTAACCAAGAATAGGGGCCTAGAACAAGGACCAGAAAATTTCGAACTAGGGATCAAATCTAGCTTGTGCCTAGATTTGTATATCCCATGAGCTAAGAATGATTTCTACATATTTAAATGATTAAAAAATAAAAAGCATTATGTTTTGTGGTGCGATATGAAATTCAAATTTGCACTTTTATTACAACACAACCATGCACACATCCATTTATACATCATCTATGGCTGCTGTCACACTAAAAGAGCTGAGCTGAGTACAGCTGGAACAAAATTGTATAGCATGCACAATCTCAAACATTTACTACCCAGCTCTTTACAGAATAAGCTTTGCCCCCTTGTAAGGACACACTTAAAGTCATCTTTCAGTTTCAGATTTTATCTTTTAACAAAACATTATTAATAAAGAATTTAATTTTCTCTTCTACATTCACTGCTCATGTCCATGCTTAAAATATATAGATCATTGCTTGATCTTGTAACACAACTTGGTTCATACTATCCTAAAGGACATGAGAAATTTACCACTTTCATATTTGATAATCAGCTCTCATTTTAACCAGTATCAGCAGAGAATATCTAAACTTCAAATATTACTTATTCTATCAGAACTGATGGACAGGATGTATTCTTTACAGTGGCATCTGTGTGGCAATAAATCTCCCTTACAAAGGGCAGGAGATTGAATTGACTTGCTTGTTTAGTGTATACCATAATTCCAAGTAGTGTGAGTAGGCCAGCCTCACACAATTTTGATAGGCTACTCCCTCCCACCAGTGTTAAATGAGAATCAATAGACCCAGTACTATATACTTTAGATGTATATATTTTATCTTATCCCTATTATATATGTTGAATCATCAGAGAGCAGAGTGCATAGACTATAAAATAATATAATGAAAATACACTCCTTTATAGACATATCTTAAGATATGGCTTATGATTATAATATTTGTGCATATTATAAGGTTGATGCAGCAATCAACTATCTCAATGATATTTTTATACTTTTGAAAAAGAAAACTGTAGTTAAAGACATAAACTTATTTATTCCCCCGTGCTATTTATATAATGATTTCATATGTATGTTCAGATTTGAATTTTGTTTGCAGAAAAAAAACTAACAGGAATTCTATATTTGAGTGTTTGTTTTCTGTGCAACCAAGTATGCTTCGAAACTCAAGAGACCTGATTTTTTAATCATGGTCTGTGTTCTACTTGTCCAGAGGGTAAGAGTAGAAAATATCCAAGTTTCTTTTAGCCCTAAAATTGAATACATAATCACCAAAAAAACTAGCAAAAATCCCCCTTCCCCTTCCTTCCAAATAGCTCAAGGAAAATTATTGCCAAATAGTAGTAATTTGGTTATTTGCAAGAACCTAGTAACACCTACTTTTTTGCTTCTTTTAAAATGTTTTGTTTCATTCACAAAGGGCTTGTTTTTAGTCTTTTAACTCTGTAAAAGATCCTTGAAAACAGGTAGGACAGAAAATTCATATAAAAATAGCAAACTTCTAACATGGATTAATTAGATCTGGTGAGCAGAATGATAATTTTGTCTTCTTCACATTTGATTTGCTTTGGCTGACTCATAGCCAAAGCCACACATTTACAATTACATATAAGGCAGGTGATATGTCTTAGTCAATCTGTTATAATGGATCAACAGAATGTTAAAAGGAAGAAAAGCATCCAATTTTCGTGTTTCTAGTTGAACTCATTTCCATGATTACTTTTTGTGATACTCGGGAAATACTGCTATAATTTTTATTTCCTACATATAAAACTAAGATTGATAAACTATATAGATTTTACACATACACATATACACACGTAGGTACATATTTATGTGTGAGGAGGTAGGGAAGAAGGCATGAGAGAAAATAAAGGGGAAAAAGAATCTTGATTCTTTTGATAAAAGTCAAGGCAATTTACTAGTACTACAAATATAAAAACCCATAAACTTCACTTTTCAAAGCATTAAATTAATGTGCTTATGATTTTTCCTCATTGCTTCATTTCGAGGTAGCAAAACCTGGTGCTAAGATCTTGCTATGAAACACAAATAAAAAGTGTTTAGTGACTAGGGATTATTTTGGCTAAGATTTTATTTTAGAATTGTTTGTGTCCATTTTTTATTTATTAGAAACAAACAAAAATAAATCCAAGTTTCCAAGTGTTTTTACTTCTTTAAATTTCTGTAAGTTCTATAGCTACCTCTTAGTTTTGAACAACCTCTTAGTTTTGAGCACTTCTCAGACAAGGTTAGTTTTCTTAACTACTTTCTGTTCAACCTGAGTTATCTGAGCAATTCTATTTTCCTCAGAGTTTAAACAGACCTCTTTAAGTAGGAGCTTCTCTTGATCAATACCCCATTTTCTCTTTAACTTATATTTTATCCTTTAACAGTTTGCTCGCACTAAGAAGCAGGGACTCCGGACAAAAAAGTGGTGGTTATGAGAGAACAGAATCAGTCTTAGAGGCACAGTAGTTAGCTAGTCAAAGGTGAAGAAAGTTCCTTTAGTTCCCATTCTTCTCTCCCCAAATACTTTCCAAGGACTTGCCAGTGTTGAAAAGCTTACAATCAGAGCTTCATTTATTCCAGAATTAATGCCCTACTTCTTTGAGGGAAACAGAAACTCCCCCTTGGGCTTAGTTTGTATGTGTCTTAATTTTTAAAAGTAAAATAGTATCTATATTTAAAATATGTTAAATTAGTAATGTTCAAAGAGAAGAACAATTAACTTACCTAGAATGGTCACTTCAAAATGTCCAAGGCTCAGGGCACTCCTAAATTCGTCAAGTTTTGGAGGCTTTCCTTCTGGTGGTATGTATTTTGCAGGCTGGGAATTATACTGCTGAGTAAGAAACTTTCGGTGTTCAAAATTAAATTTCCGTGGAATACTTTCAGCGTAAACACGGCTGTATTGTAGGTGGTCTACTAAGTCAAATCTTTTATCTCTCCACAGTTGACTTTCCCACCTGTCAGTTAAGGTTCTTCTGGCCTTTCGTATGATACTAACACTTGTAACTTCTCGACCTGTTAGAGACACAATGAGACAAGCAAAACTGGCTTATAAACTAGTTGAGTAAAAGCATTCACTATTTTACAAAGTACAGATTAATGAAGACTGCTTAAGAAACTTTAAAAATCAATCATCTACAAAATGCAAAATGAATATCTAAAAGATAGCTCTTATTAATATGAGGGAAGAACTAAATTCACTTTCAGTATCAACTTTTACTTCAAAATATCAACTGATGCTATTTCCTCTGATTTTGGCGTTATAAAGATTTACAATATCCTCTTTATTTCACTAAGAAATCTTTTATTCTTGTCATTAATTTTGTGTGATATCTTCGTTATACTTTTTCTGTATTTTCCAAATCCTCTTAAATAAATATATATTCCTTATATACTCAGTGATAGAGTAAAGTCAAATCAGATTTATGACAATGGTACTGCTAGAGATCACTCATTCTTGGTGGAATTTGAGCTTAAAGTAAAATTTTGTTAATCTCTGTTCAAAGTAGCCTAACAGATACACTGTTTTTCTTGGATACCTCTTTTCTTCAAAAGGGCCATTTATTTTTTTCATTTTCTAAAATTTTTATTAGCATATTATTATTTTATTGGGGGTACATTGTAAAATTTACAAAAGTGCTTACAATGTATCTTAGATTTGCCCCTCTATCATTCAAAGGACCATTTACTTATCTTTTCTTTTTTTTTTTTGGTGCTGGGATCGAACCCAGGGCCTCACGCATGCTAGGCAAGCGCTGTACCACCGAGCTACATCCCAGCCCAGGACCATTTACTTATTACATCTGATACTCCTTTCAGATATAAATAATGTAAAACAAAGAGGTAAATAAATTGAGATGAAAGACCTCCTCAAATCTTTTTCTTTCTTTTTTTGGGTGATACCAGGGGTTTGAAATCAGGGCCTTGTGCTTGCCAGAAAGTGCTCTACTACTGGAGCCATGCCCCCAGTCCATTTGCTTTTTAGGTTTTTCAGATGGGGTCTATGTTTTTGCCCAGGCCAGCCTTGGACCTTGATCCTCCTACCTCTGCCTCCCAAGTGCTGAAATTACAGGTGTATGCCCCATCATGCCTGGCTTGTTTTTGAGATAGAATCTTGCTAACTTTTGCCCAGGCTGGCCTCAAACTATAATCCTATTTTACAAGTGTGTGTCTTCACATATGCCCCACCTCTTTGATTCTTAACTTTTCTCTGTACATGGGTCAATGTATCATCTATGTATAACTTATCTAACATGCTTAGTTCCTAAGGTAGAGTATAATTTATCCATTACACATTATGACATTTTATTCAACAAATAATTATTGAGTGCCTAATATGTTCAGACACTGTGCTAAGGAATTTAGTAAAAATAATATTTAAAATGAATAACTCATCTTAGCAACTAAAGATATGTGGTAAAATCAGAAAAAAATGGAGGCAGGAACAAGACTCTTGTGTTTAGTTCTACTAGCTAATGCAAGCTATCAGCTCTCCTTTTCTTTACTTGGCAGTATGTGAATTTGAACTCAGGACTTCACACTTGGTAGGCAGGTGCTCTACAACTCCTGCCCTTTTTGCTCTAGTAACTTTGGAGAAAGAGTCTCACTTTTTGATCATGTTGTCATGGACCATGATCCTCCTATTTTAGGCTTCACACTGTAGCTGGGATGATAGGAGTGTACCATGCCCAGCTATTGGTTGTGATGGGGTCTCAAAGCTTTGTTTTTAAAAAAATTTTTCCAGGCTGATCTTGACCCATGATCTTACCAATCTCAACCTCCCAAATCTAGGATTTTAGAGGTGAGTCACTGACACCTGGCTATCAACTCCTTTTAAGTTTGCCAAGCTTTCCAAGTTGCTTCCTTGCAAGTTGCCTAATTCCTGGTGTTGATTCTTATCCTAGCATAAGAATCCCTGCTGAGGCAGAAGGCGACTTCAACAGCAAGGTTTCAATATGGTTAATATACCACTTCTACTTTTCAGATTGTATTCCATATTCCTAGACTAACCATACTGCATGGCTTCTTAAGACCAGCTGCAGACTTTATGAAAACTTATTACAAGGTAAAAAATGAGTTGTAAGGGAAGATGAAGAAATTAAATATACACTTCTTCCTCAGTAATCTAAACCACTGCAACATCACAAGAGTTTTTAAAGCTCAAAATCCAGCTGATAAACGTACTTAACTTCTTATAATAATGCTTGATAATACAAGGGATAATTTAATCACACATGAAAAGGAAAGAAAGGAATAAATCAAATTAAAGAAAAAGCTGAAGAGTTAAAAGGACTAAACAGAGTATTGGGAAATGAACTCATTTTTATCTTCTAGAAATATACCTTCTCTATCCAAGCTAATAAAAGTACACATTTAGAACAGTAATAAGAAACTATTGCAATGACCCAAATCATATTGAACACTCTTAAATGCTTTGCTCTAGAATACTATGTGAAAAAGTTATATGGTATTCTGATTCTTTAAAAAATTAAATACTTTTATCTACTTTATAGAAAAATATCATGTGATTGACCTTGTCAGGAATAGAGTTAGAATTTTTTCTATATATATTTCATTTGATTATTAATATTAAGGACTACCAAGATATAAATGCTTTTATGAAAAATTCCTCTAAAATTATGCTTTATTTTTATTTTAGAAACTTGGGATTATAATTATCTTCAATTATATTTTCATAATTAATAAACACAAATGGCTATGAAATCAATACAGAAGGTATTGTCAATTTTTGCTTGTGAACAGCAACATTTCAAAGGAAATTAGGAAAAAGACTAAATATATTTAGAGTTCAGGTTGATCTAGAAAAAGATGAAAAATCATGAGCTAGAATTCTTGTTTTAGCTCGATTACTGCTAAAATTATTATATGAAATGAGTTTTTAAGTCTTATCATATCTAAAGTGCAAGTCAATTGCACAGCAAAATTTTATATATATATTAACGTTTTACTAGTATATGATAGTTACCTGTTGTGACATTTTCATACATATATTTTATAATTATCACTAGTCTTTTAATTATCCATTTTACCTTTTCTAGTGAGATTGATTTTGTTTTAATGAAGAAAAATTTAAGTAGGTGAGTACATTTATGTTGTGAAGTAAGAAAGCACAGTACAAATTATGTATATAGGTGTGATGATTTTTTTTCTTCACAAAATGTACTTTGAGCAGCATTTCATTATGTGTTTAAAAGAAGTGGGCAGGGGTATATGGAGGTATGTGGGAAGAAGAGGAGCTATTTACTTTGCCTCTTCCCCCTTGACTCCACTGACCCCATGTGGTTGAAGGTCTACAAAGCTAGACAAGAACAGGATATTCCAGTTAGTGATAAGGTCTATGCGTGGTAACACATATATAAAGGGCTTTTTAAGGGATTGTGTAAGTCAGAGGCTACCTGTAATCCTGTAATGTCTTGTGATCTTGGTTGTACTATTCTTGGTTATTAACTTTTAAATGTATGACTTATCTACTTATCTGAGTTACTACATATAAAGGACACAATATTAAACTTTGCAAAATACCTAGCACAAATCAAACCATGTTAACTGTATGTTAACAAAATGAATGCCTTTTGAATTTATAGACAGAAAAATGCTAAGATATCATGAAATATATCTGAGGATATGTTAGTGACCAGGTTGAGAAATATAATTAAATCACTAACTGCAGTAAGTTTTCTAGTATATGAATACACTACATTTTATATATAATAAATAACATACACAATAATCTTAAGTTAATTTTTAGTTTTTAAATTTTGCCTATTATAAACAATGTTTTTAGCGCCGGCAGAGTGGCTCAAGTGGTAGAGTGCCTCCCTAGCAAGTGTGAAGCTCTGAGTTCATACCCCAGTACCACAAAAAAGCCCCAAACCAAAAAAACCCCATGTTTTAATAGACATCTTAGAACGTATCTATCTGTGTGGTCAACATGTAGGTGAAATCCCTAAGTCACAGGGTATACAATGCATTTATAACAAATTAGGTATTGCCAAATTGCTCTCAAAATGTAGCACATTTACCTATGAAAGGGGAGGCATGACAATTTCTCTCCGATATACACATATATTTGTTTATATTATAGAAAAAAATGGAAAGATATGACATTAATGAATAAAAAGTTATTCCATGGTAGGAGCGGAAGAATAGGATGTAGGAGACAGGAATAGGAAATAAAGTTCCTCAAATATGTATTTTTTGGTATATTTAACTTGGGAACTATGTTAATAACAAGAAAGATTAACAATCGGGGTGACTATGATTAAAGTACATTTTATGCATGTATGGAAATGCCATGATGAAACTCCTTCCTATGTATACTTAATATATGCCAAAAATGAAACAAGTGAAAATAGTTAACCCCAAAACAAATGTTTATTTAAAGAAAGTAATATGTAAGCATCATAATAATATCTACCTAGTTAACAGTAGAAGTAAACAGGAAGGAATATTACAAGTGACTAAACTATAATAATTTAACATCACAGGTCTAATGGATGTGTATCTGAAGTATCTGCAAGCCAAATAAAAAATCCTTAAGATCATTATTCTGAGACTGTTTCTATATGTAATGGATGTTATGGCATATATATAAAGTGTCCCCCCAAAAGGCTCGTGTGTCGAAGGCTTGGTTTCCAGCAGGTGGAGCCAATCATTGAGAGATGATTGGACCCCAATGTCTCTTACTTAAGCAGTGGATTAATCCCTTAATGGCTTCATAATCTGATAGCATTATTGGGAGATGGTGGAAAAGGGGGAGGAATACCCTGGAAGATGGTTTTTTTGTTCTAGGTGGTCCCTTACTACATGTTTCTGCTTCATAGCTGCCATGAAGTGAGCAGCTCTTTTTCTTCATGCCCTTTCCACTATGATGTTCTTTAGGTCTAAAAGCAAAAGCATGGATGTAAATCTCTGAAACTGAGCTAAACTAAATCCTTCCTCCTTTTAAATTGTTTCCCTTAGAGGTTCAACGTATATTACATGTATATGTATGA